CAAAACTGTAAGTAGGCCTTATTTTCGGAGGATGTCTTATTTTCGGGGAAACAGGGTAGTAGGTGGAGGGTTGCACTGGGTATTGGTATGAGCCGGTGTGTGAGAGAGAAGGCAGACTAGACAACAATTGGGAGACAGAGGAACAGCCAAACAGCCAGAAGGAGCAGCTGAAAACACAATGTCTGACCCAGGAAGGAACCTAAAGAGCGGTGCCAGTCGAATACAGTGTTCTTGGTGCTGTGAGCAAAAGAAGCCTCGTCCTGCTACTTGATTCCTTCTGTGTTCAGAGACAAAGGACTTTGTACATTCTTTGTAAATACACAAAACTATCAAAAGAAATACCTGACTGTCACCAATTTCTACTCCCAATTGGAACATCTCTAGGCCTCTAAGCCTCTAATGCATCCCTAGGCCCCTAATGCCATTCAGGTAGAAAAAAAAGAGCAGGATTGAGCCCTAACAGTCTCAGATCTCCGAGTGGCCGCGGCGCGGGCGCCGCTTCTCCACCTCCCTCCCTCCTAGGCTTGAGATCCTGGGGGGAGGAGGCAGGGCTGGGGATTTGGGGAAGGGGTGGAGTTAAGGCGGGGCCGGGGGTGGGGTAATTAAAGAACGGGGGGGGGGGGGCAAAATTGTTTTTGCTTTGGGCGGCAAAAATCCTAGAGCCGGCCCTGCATAAGAGAGAGAATTTAATCATATGAACAGCCCAGATATAATGTTATAGTAGTAACAGATGTGGTTCAGGCGACTAGTAATAGAATATAGGTCTTTTATCTCTAATTTCCTAGGTCAAATCCATTCTAGTAGTGATTGATGGTGGTAGCATCTAGTGGCTATGCTTTGGCCTGTACTAAAAATGGGTTTGGTGATTGCAATCCAGTTCCTAGTGAACTGGTCTCTCTGTCATAAAAAAATAAAACTCTGCTACAACTGGCACCCTTGGGGGAAATGTCAAAAAAGAAGTCAAAGATCAAACAGGCATGGAGACTGCCCAACTCGTCATTCTGGAAGACGGTCCTGGTTAGCGACTCAGTAGTCCTGAGGCAATGTCAGGACTGCTTTGCCATTGCCAGTGTTGCACCTTTTCTGTGCCAGAAAGGACTCCAAGGGCTATCAAGTAGACACCTTTTCATCAGCTCCACACATACACTATATAAGAAACAAAACTGTGTAGCAACTGAGCCTGAGCCACTTAGTTCGGGTTCAGATTTCTCCGAAGTTAAGGGATACTCAGGTTCAGATTTTTAGTTCAGCTCATTATACAGAGCAAGGCCAATCACAAAGTTTGGGTATGGAGCGAGGCTAGTCTCAGAACTTACCTGCAGTTTGGGGGAATTCTTATCTGGGGATTTGGTTCAGGCCCATCTCTCATTATTATTTAACTTTTATACTGCAGTGGTACTTACAGGCCACAAGCAGATTGGACTCTGCTGTGCGAGGCAGTGCACAAGCATATTAATAAATGATAGACCCAGCCCCCAAATTCTTAACATTTGAATTGTGTGTTGATGTTTCTGGCAGGATGATGCAAAAATCTAATGTCATATTGGTGGGAAAATGTGAAATAAATAATATGCATCTGCTTTCAAGCTTTACTGTATTACAACAATTGCAGTCAGTTGGTTTTCCTGTAATAAAGCCCAATTGGTTCTTACAGATAAGTGAATAATAACAGTATTTAGCTCCTGTATAGCAATTTTAATCCACATATCTCAAAGCAGTTTCAAAGTAGGGAAGGGTCAGTATCATCTCCATCGCAGATGTGGAAACTGAGGAACAGAAAGGTGTAGTAACTTGTCCTATGTCACACAGCACGTCACTGGCAACGCTGGAAATAGAACCCGGTCCCTGATGCCCATTCGAGTATCCAATCCCATGGCCACACTAAGTCCCATCATTTTTTCCTGGACATTGCAATTTTTCATGTGTGTTTAGTAAACAGTTATCCATAGGAGCCACACAACAATGGATGCTTATTAGGTTTGCAAAACAGTGAAATTAAGGGCAGATTATGTGAATTAGATGGCTGACTCTGTTGGAATGCCTGCTTGAAGTAATCATGTTTTGAAAGAAATCTAATTAGGCTGATAGAACTTTAGATGTCCATCAGCAGCCCAGGGAATGTACCAATTCTGCCAGTATTCCAACATTTAACAACTACCATTATTCCCTCCCTGCCCCCCCTCCCCTTTTTTTCCTTCTTTCCATTTGTCTTTTAAGGTGATGATGCTACATAGAAAAGATTTTGTATAGTGGTAGGTGACTAGTATCTAATTCTGAGCTCTTGGCCAAATTCCGGGTTGGGTAATTACATTCTGCCTACCTTAATTTCCCCTGCAGCTCTAATGAGGTAAAGGTCTCTTCACAACTTGTCCTAAAACATTGTGTGGTATTGCTGTGGGCTGTTAAACAGTGAAGAATACCTTTTCCTATTGAAACTGCAAGGGACATTTGGGTAGAGAGAAACCAATGACCAGAGCTGGAATTTGACCAAGAAAGCAAGATTAGCTCTCCCACTCTTAGAAAAAGTGCCAATGAATCTGTAATGACTACACGTGGTCAGACCCTCATTGGAAAGCATGTGCGTGATCAGAGCACAAGGTTGTCTGACCAACTTTGAATTTCAGAATATTTGCACCTTCGACAAATGACAAAGAGTCCCCTGGCACCTTATAGACTAACAGACATATTGGAGCATAAGCTTTCGTGGATGAATACCCACATCATCAGATGCATGAGTCCGCACAGAAGGCTGTGATACTGTAAGTCTGGAAGAGATTATCACAATTTTTTGTTTGTTTTGTTTTTGGTGGAATTTATTAAGTTTAAAGTTGGTGAAAACAAAAAAGTTCCAGCAACTTCATCAAAGTAGTATCTTTAAAAACGTCATTGAAAACAGAAAGCCAACCCTAGTTATACAAGTGAGTCAGACAGCGCATATTCAAGCTTCAGCACCTGGTTGTGCAAAAAAAAGCCCTCATAAAATGTTTAAACAAGTTTAACAGGCTCTTTAGTAATACAAATGTAGGTATTATAAATTATGCTAAATAGCTATGTTAGGAAGTACAAATAACTTTCTTGTCCCCTTAAAAATACAACTATACAATTGGAAAAATTTGGGCTACGGTGCTCATCTTTTCTTTCCACGTGATTTTGATAATCAACTCTCAAATTAATTTATACTAGTTAATACCACTTTACGCATCTAAGCTTATTTAGGATTTTAGAAAATCATTGTTTTAAAACTAGAAATAAAAAATACCCCAGCCTCCCCACACAAACGTTGAATAATCTTGCCATTTCTGCTTCCTTCTCATCAAAGTCTTAATTTCTGTCTTCAGATTAAGGCAGCTATGAGTTCTGTCCTCGTCTCATTTCACCCATCTCCTTGATCTCGACCTTCTCATACTTCCCGGTCCTCCTCCTGGTAATAACCAGCACAGTAATCCCAGTAATAATAGTCAATATCACCACTGCCAACACAGCAATAACGCCAGCAGTCAGACGTTTCATAGAAAACTCTGGTGGCTTTTCATCCACATAGTAAATTAAAATTCCTTCCACATCCAGAGGCTCTCCGTTAACGGAGAGGTTGAATGCATTACTACGATGAAATATGGAGTCAAGTTTAACATCTTTTTCAAAGTAATAAGCCACATCAGCTATATCAACATCTCTGTTGGATTTCTGGGAAGCATTTTGCATCAGGTCAATATGGATGAATGGGTATTCATACTCAATGGCAGTGATGTACTTTGGATGCAGCTTGTATCTGTTCTGAATGATCTGTCTCAGACCATTTGCCACTTCAGAAGCATGGAAGGCTTTAGACCTCTCCTTGTGTTTCAGTTCGATGAAGATCAAGTTAGTTCTGACTAGTTCACTGCATCTTAGGGTTGTGTCACCTTTATCAGTTCTCCTCACCCCAGCAGAGTTCACACACCAGCAGGTGTTGGTCTGATTGCACTGCCTGGCTTTGAAGATACCACTGTCCTCACAATCTGGATTGTAAATTCCATCATTGTCTAAAAAGCCATGCTCAGGTTTGGTGAAGCGCCTGCCCTTTGGGGAGCTCATTTCTGCCTTCATCAGTAGGCATTTTGAAGTCAACACTGAACAATTTACTCTGTGATTTGAACCCACCAACGTGCAGAGGCAGTTCCCGGGTGTGTCTTCGGTGCATAGAGCCCGTCTGTTGGTTGCACAGGTACAGTTCTTCTGGGCAGATGATGATGCAGCTGCCAAGATCAAAACCAGCACAACTCCAAATCTAGATTCCATGTTCAAGGGAGAAAGAGAGGAAGAAGCCTGTGGGAAGAAATGGCAAGGGCTGTCTGAAAACTAAGCCCACTGACAGCCAGTCTCCTGGTTTTTGTGTATTGGTGAGCCACTCCCTATTACTCAACCCAAATCAGACCTGCAAGACAGGTTCTGCTCACAAACAACTGGTCTCCAGCAACACAGAAAACCCACAGAGAAGTCAGTGAGCTGCACCTTCTTCAATTATACCTTCAGGGAGTGGCAATAACTCCCCACCATCCCAACCTGTCTCCCTCCCTCCTGCTGAATGAGGAAATACAACAGGCAAGCAACTCACACACCAATATAAAACGTGACTCCTCCTGGCCCTGCCTTGTGGATCAGAACATAAACACAGTTTTTTAAGTTAATGTGAGCCTGCCTGAGCCCCTTCCTTCTGTCTCTGTTTCCATCTCCTGCATATATAAATGCAGTTAGGGCCCCGTGCAGGTGGGAACTGGAGCAAGGAAACACACAAAAGGAAGGACAGCAGCCTACACCGGTGTTCGTGGAAGCCTTGCTGCCCTGATATTATGGGGGAGAAGTACTGCAATTAGAGGTGGGATGAGGTATGTCACAGTTCAGGGCAACGGCTCATGTATTTCCCTTCTGTGCATGGGTGGCAGGTTTGTAGAAATTTTGGTGGTTCCCAGAACCCGCCCCCACCCCAAACTCCACCCCCCACCTGCCTAAGGCTCTGGGAGGGAGTTTGAGTTGGGGGAGGAGGTCTGGGGTGCAGGCCCTGGGCTGGGGATTAGGGTGCAGGAGGGTGCAGGGTGCAGGCTCCTGGATGGAGTTTGGGTGCTGGGTGCAGGCTCTGGCCTGGGGCAGGGGGTGGGGGTGAAGGAAGGGGTGAAGGGTGCAGGCTCTGGGACGGAGTTTGGGTGTAGGCTCTGGGCTGGGGCAA